GAAAGGATCCCCTTTTGGGGCGGATCTACAAATTGATCCCCCCTTTGGCAGATTACAAATTGATTTCCTTTGTGGCGGACTTCAAAATCATCCCTATTACGCGGCCTTCAAATAGATTCAATTTGCGTCGGCTCAGATGAACGAGGGGTGGGGGCCTGGCCGGCGAAAAATACAAATACACACACAAAAATTATCCCAGTGCGACCCTACCTAGGAGTTGGGGCCCCTAGGAAAGCAGAATTAGTAGTAACAGTAAAGCTAAGCTAAAGCTAAGCTAAAGCTAAGCTGAAGCTAAGCTAAAGCTAAGCTGAAGCTAAGCTAAAGCGAGGCTAAAGCTAAGCTAAGGCTAAGCTAACACTAAGCTAAAGCTAAGCTAAAGCTAAGCTGAAACTAAGCTAAAGCTAAGCTAAAGCTAAGCTAAAGCTCAGCTAAAGCTAAGCTAAAGCTAAGCTAAAGCTGAAGCTAAAAATAAGCTAAAGCTAAGCTAAAGCTAAGCTAAAGCTAAGCTAAAGCTAAGCTAAAGCTAAGCTAAAGCTAACCTAAGCTAAGCTAAAGTTAAGCTAACACTAAGCTGAAGCTATGCTAAAGCTAAGCTAAAGCGAGGCTAAAGCTAAGCTAAAGCTAAGCTAAAGCGAGGCTAAAGCTAAGCTAAGGCTAAGCTAACACTAAGCTAAAGCTAAGCTAAAGCTAAGCTAAAGCTAAGCTAAAGCTAAGCTAACACTAAGCTAAAGCTAAGCTAACACTAAGCTGAAGCTAAGCTAACACTAAGCTGAAGCTAAGCTGAAGCTAAGCTAAAGCTAAGCTGACAGCTAAAGCTAAGCTAAAGCTAAGCTGACACTAAGCATAAGCTAAGCTAAAGCTAAGCTAAAGCTAAGCTAAAGCTAAGCTAAAGCTAAGCTAAAGCTAAGCTAACTAAGCTAAGCTAAAGCTAAGCTAAAGCTAAGCTAAAGCTAAAGCTAAGCTAAAGCTAAGCTAAAGCTAAGCTAAAGCTAAGCTAAGCTAGCTAAGCTAAAGCTAAGCTAAAGCTAAAGCTAAGCTAAAGCTAAAGCTAAGGCTAAAGCTCAGGGGACTGGGGGAACCGCGGGGCGGGGACTGGGGGAACCGCCCGGGGCGGTTAGCATTGCCCGGCCCTTTAAGCAAAGAGAGTAAGAACCCTTCTAGGCAGAGCCTAGGTAGGGAAAAACCTCAAAAATCTGGGGGACCAAAAACGCTGCGTTTTTAAGTTTAAAGTGGTTTCTTACTTGACAACCACCCCCCCCCCAACAAAAAAAACGCAAACTTGGAAGCGCAGAAAACATGTGTTTTACAGTGTTTGCGCATGTACATATTGATTCCATTGTGCTGGACTACAACGCCGCACAATAGAAATCAATGCGTAAGCCTGGACAAAGGGATGTCCATTGTATCGCACAAAATAATCATGAGTGTGTAAAACCCCACAACAAGTATTTGAAGGCACCACGATAGGAATCAAATTGTTATCGGTCAACTCTGTAAAAAAAAAAAAAAAAAAAAAAAAAGTTTTCTTGGCATCCAAGTTGGCGTTGTTGTGCTTTTTGGTTTTCAATCAAGAATCCACGTTACAACTAAGAACACAGCGTTTGTGGTCCCCCAGGTTGGTTGTTTTGGCTTGTTCTGTCTTGTTTGTCTTTTTCGTCGGCCAGCCCCCCCCCCCATTCCCCGTCCATCTGAGCCGACACAAAGGAATTCTATGTGACAGCCCCACAGTACAAATGAATATGCAAATGCGCGAACATTGTAAAAAAACACAGGTTTTCGTTGCATCCAAGTTGGTTGTTTGGGATTTTTAAAATTTTCATGTGTATATATATAAGGAAAAAAACAAAAAAACAAAACTTTGAAACACAGCGTGTGTGGTCCCCCAGGTTGACTTGTTTGTTGTTTGCCGTGTTTGTCTTTTTCGTCGGCCAGGCCACCACTCCCCGTCCCTCTCAGCCGACACAAAAGAATTCTATTCGAAGGCCTCACAATAGGGGTCAAGTTGTAGATCCGCCACAAAAGGAATCCTTTGTAATTCGCGAGACAAAGAACCAACTTGTAATCCGCCACACTGGGAATCAATTTGTAATCCGCCACCAAAGGAATCAATGTGCAATCCGCCACAAACGAATCAACTTGCAATCCGCTGGCCGCTGACTGTGTGTTGTTCGCGTCAGTATTAATGTTGGCGCATGCTGCCCTTTCCGTGAACTGCTTAACAGCGCTGCTCAGCCGCAACCTTGAGTTAGAAAACAACATTATTGCATGGATTCGTCATGTGTGTTGGCAGCTATTCACCATTGGCCAGACTCCCTCTTCTCATGCATCCTGCTATTCCACGGAGGAAATCTGTGCAACACGTAATGTTCCAGGGCACTGGGATAAAACCTCCAGCCCCTCCCCGTAGTCTTCCTCCTCCTCATCCTCCTCCTCCTCCGTATCCTCATCCTCATCCTCCACCTCCTCCCTCCTCCTCCTTCTCCTCTTCATCCTCCTCCTCTTCATCCTCCTCCTCCTTCTCCTCCCTCCTCTTCCTCCTCCTCCTCCTCCTCCTCCTCCTCCTCCTCCTCCCCCTCCTCCTCCTCATCATCATCATCCTCCTTCTCCTCCTGCGCCCTCCTCCTCCTCCTCCTCCCCCGCCTCCTCCTCCTCATCCTCCTTCTCCCCTCCTTTTCGTCCTCCGCCTCCTCCTCCGCCTCCTCCTCCTCCTCCTCCTCCTCCCTCCGGTTCCTCCTGCGCCATCCTCCTCCTCTCCTCCTCCTCCTCTTCCCTCTTCGCCTCCTCCTCCTCCTCCTCCTCCTCTTTCTCTTCCTCCTCACCTCCTCCCTCTTCTCCTCCTCCTCCTCCTCCTCCTCCTGCTCCTCCTCCGTGTCCCCTCCTCCTCCTCCTCCTCCTCCTCCTCCTCCTCCTCCTCCTCTCTCCTCCTCCTCCTCCTCCTCCTCCTCCTCCTCCTCCTCCTCCTCCTCCTCTCCTCCTCCTCCTCCTCTCTCCTCCTCCTCCTCATCATCATCATCATCATCATCATCAATCATCATCATCATCATCATCATCATCATCATCATCATCACCATCCATCATCACATCATCATCATCATCATCATCATCATCATCATCATCATCATCTCATCATCATCATCCTCCTCCTCCTCCTCCTCCTCCTCTTCCTCCCCCTCCGCCTCCACCTCCTCCTCAATCTCCTCATCCTCCTCCTCCTCCTCCTCCTCCTTGTCATCCTTCTCATCACCATCGTCACCATCGGTATCAGCATCGTCATCATCAGCATCATCATCATCATCATCATCATCAGCATCACCGTCATCATCAGCATCATCAGCAGCAGCATCCGCATCAGCATCGTCATCATCATCGTCATCAGCATCCGCATCATCATCATCATCAGCATCATCATCATCATCATCATCATCATCATCATCATCATCATCATCATCATCATCATGATTTCATCATCATCATCATCATCATCATCATTATCATCACCCCCATCGTCATCATCAGTATCACCATCAGCAGCATCATCATCCTCAGCATCATCATTGTCAGCGTCATCATCAGCATCAGTATCAGCACCAGCAGCATCATCATCACCAGCATCGTCATCATCATCATCATCATCATCATCATCATCATCATCATCATCATCATCATAGTAAGCATCAGCATCGTCATCATCAACAACATCATCATCAAAAGCCGCCTCATCATCAACATCATCAGCATCATCGTAAGCATTACATCATTAGCATCCCCAGCATCCTCATCACCATCACCAGCAACATCAGCATCATCATCATCAGATTCATCATCATAATCAACATCGACGTCGTCATCATCATCATCATCATCATCATCATCATCATCATCATCATCACCAGCATCACCTATATCAGCATCATCACCATCGTCAGCAGCATCCGCATCATCATCGTCGTCATGTTCATCATGATGATGATGATGATGATCATCATCATCATCATCATCATCATCGTCACCATCATCATCATCATCATCATCATCATCAGCATCATCATCATCAGCATCATCATCATCATAAGCATCGTCATCATCAACATCTCAATCATCACCATCATCAGCATCATCAACGGCATCAGAATCATCAGTGTTGCCATCATCATCGACATCATCATCACCATCATCAGCATCATCAACGGCATCAGCATCATCATTGTCGTCATCATCATCATCATCATCATCATCATCATCAGCATCAGCATCATCATCGTCGTCATCATCAGCATCATCAGCATCAGCTTCAGCATTATTACCATCATCAGCATCATCAGCATCATCAACATCACCATCATCATCATGAGCATCATCATCATCAGAATCATCCCAATCATCATCATGAGCATCATCATCATCGTCATCATCAGATTCCCCCTGTTTCTCCCGATCCCCATTAATCATGATACCTCCTCTTTGCCATCACACCTCCCCTCCCTCACTCTCTCTTTCCCACCTCCTCCTCCTCTTCTTCCTCCTCCTCATCCTCCTCGTCCTCCTTCTCATCATCATGGTCATCATCATCAGCAGCATCATCATAATCATCATCACCATCACCATCACCATCACCATCATCATCATCATCATCATCATCATCATCATCATCATCGTCATCATTTTTACCGTCATCATCATCATCATCATCGTCATCAGCAGCATCAGCGTCGTCGTCATCATCGTCGTCAAAGAATAATCATCACCACCACCACCATGATCATCATCATCATCATCATCATCATCATCATCATCAAAATTCAGCATCATCATAATCGGAGTCGTCGCCCTGGTCGTCATCAGCATTATCATCATCATCAGCAGCATCATCACCACCACCACCACCACCATCATCAGCATCACCATTATCGTCACCATCACAATCCATACTCCTCCCGCCTCCTCCTACAAGAGATAGATGGAGAGAGAGTGCGCACGGGGATGCAAGCCCCAACCCAGGCCTTGATCGCCCAGTCTACGTTCTCCCACCGGCCGTCGTTCTTGATGCCCTGGGCTCAGCAAGCGGCACGGGACCCATGCACCCATCCACGCACTGCACAACGTCTCACCCGCTGGCCACGCCGTCCCCCTCTAAACCCCCCACCCCTCCGTACTCATGTTCTTCCCCCATCCCCCCCTACTCGACCCCACTTCATCCTCCGAAGTGTCTCTGCGGGTCAGAGCGTCTTGTCAAACCTCCCCGCTTATATAATAAAAATCCTGGAAAAAGGAACTGTATTTGAAATGAGGCTCGGGGATACTAAACAAAAACGGCTGGCCGCGAAGCCAAAAAAAGGAAAACAGACGGCAGCTAAAAAAAAGGCGACTCTCGAAGGGGCAGGAGCAGTCAGTGTGTGAGAGAGCTGAAAAGTGCAGCAAACAACGAATTGAAAAAATCAGAAGAAACGGCGTGGACCGGCATTGGGAGCAGTTGTAAAAAAAGACTCCGAAACAACAGCGAAAACTGCCCGTGCTGATGTCCCGAGATGGAGAACAGCGGAAATGAAAACATACATAAGACGTCAAAGCGTTAATCAATAAACCCACTAACCCTCAAAGGCCTGAAATATTAGACAGACATCTGAAGTCCCTCCATCTCCCCCATCCCTCCTCCGCCTCCTCCGCCTCATCCTCCTCCTCCACCACCTCCTCGTCCTCCTCCTCATCATCGTCGTCGTTATCGTCATCATCATCATCATCATCATCATCATCATCATCATCATCATCATCATCATCATCATCATCATCATCATCATCATCATCATTATCGTCATCGTCATCGTCATCGTCATCGTCATCATGATCATCATGATCATCATCATCATCATCATGATCATCATCATCATCATCATCATCATCATCATCATCATCATCATCATCATCATCATCATCATCATCATCATCCTCGTCATCATCATCATCATCATCATCATCATCATCATCGTCATCATCATCATTATCAATCATCCACCATCCATCATCATCATCAGCATCATCATCATCATAATCAGCATCAGTATCATCATCAGTATCATCATCAGCATCATCATCATCAGAGTCCTCATCGCCACCATCATCGCCATCATAGTCACAACGTCATCATCAGCAGCTACAGCGCAATCCTCATTATCATCAGATTATTATTACTCGTATTAGTAACATGTGTACTATGCGTATTAGTGTGATTACTGTTGGTAGTACTTATTTTGTTATCTGATTTTCTGCTTTCGATGAATATTATTCTTAGTATGACTGTTAGTAGTATGGTGTTTCCTCTTAGTGCTCGTTTTATCATTTATCCGTATTATTGCTCACCATTTTATTAGCACCATGATCATCATGCATCATCATCCGCGTCCTCCTCCTCACATCACTGGGTGAGGCAAAGGAGGCCAGGCTGGCTTGCGGCGGGCGAGATGGGGAAATAACAACCAAGGAGTTGGCGAATCAGCTCACGAACGGCAGGTTCGTGTCGTGACGACCCCGCCCTTGGTTTCTGACCTCAAGTGGACCGTTCAACCTTGAACGTTCGGCGGCTCTCCGATCGCCAGATCATTCCCGTCTTAGCCGACTATGGGCCATCAGCGGCGCTAAATCTTGAACGCCCACGCCAGGGTTGCCGCCGCGTCGACACGGCACGCCCCTACTCGGGCGGGTGGTAAGGGGGGTGACCTAAATCGGGTGTGGAGAAAGGGGCCCTGAAGGGCCCCGTAAGGGTTTTCTCTTCAACCCCCAGTTAGTTCACCCCCCTTCTAGCCATCGCTCGGATGTCCATTCCCCTGCATTTGTCGATCTCGTGCGTTCCTTCCGTAAAATGATCCGCTCGATGTCCCTCGCCGAAGTGCACACGTCCGAGCGGTGCAAAGTAAGACCCCGCCCGACCTACAGTACGGCCAGGCCTGGGACAGAAGAACATCCTTCAAAGAGCATGAGACCATCCGCTGGCCAAAACACCCCAAACCACAAGCTCACAGAGCACGAAGAACATCAGGGTACAGTCGGGGCCCTGAAGAGGGAACCCTGTTCGTTGGGTAGGGGCTCCGCGTTCCCTAAGTGTTTCACAGCTTGACTCAGGTTTTCCTTATGTCTTCGATAGGAAATCGAAGGTTAACTTATGGAATTATCCCAGTGCGACCCTACCTAGGAGTTGGAACACCTAGGAAAGCAGCATTAGTAGTAACAGTAACGCTAAGCTAAAGCTAAGCTAAAGCTAAGATAAAGATAAGCCACAGCTAAGCTAAAGCTAAGCTAAAGCTAAGCTAAAGCTAAGCTAAAGCTAAGCTAAAGCTGAGCAACAGCTAAGCTAAAGCTAAGCTACAGCTAAGCTAAAGCTAAGATAAAGCTAAGCTAAAGCTAAGCTAAAGCTAAGCTCAAGCTAAGCTAAAGCTAAGCTAAAGCTAAGCTAAACGCGAAGCGAAAAGCTAAGCGAAACGCTAAGCGAAACGCTAAGCTAAAGCTAAGCTACAGCTAAGCTAAAGCTAAGCTAAAGCTAAGCTAAAGCTAAAGCTAAAGCTCCCAGGGGACTGGGGGGAACCGCTCCCAGGGGCCTGGGGGAACCGCCCGGGGCGCTTTGCACTGCCCGGCCCCTTTAAGCTAAGAGAGTAAGAACCCTTCTAGGCAGAGCCTAGGTAGGGAAAAAAGGGGCCTCATTCCTTATTTAGGGTTCCTTAGGTCAACGCCCCGACTGCACCCTCCCCGAGCCGACCTCGATCTGACACCTCGGCCCGACCGCAGCTGGCTTTTCCCCCCGGCTCCTCCCGGAGCCGCCGCGCCGAGGCCCCCCCCTCAGCGCCGCGGCCGCGCGGCGGCGCGCGGGCCTCCCAGGCCATCAGGAACACCTCGGTGTTGGCGGCGGTGCCGTCCTCACGCGGCCGCGCGGGCGGAGGGGGGGAGGAGGAGGAGGAGGAGGAGGAGGAGGAGGAGGAGGAGGAGGAGGAGGAGGAGGAGGAGGAGGAGGAGGAGGAGGAGGAGGAGGAGGGAGGGGGGGGGGGAAGCGAGCGAGGGATGGAGCCAGGAACCGCCCGAGAACAGAGCCCGCACTGCGGCCAGACCTGGGACAGAAGAACATCTCCTTCCAAGAGCAGGAGGCCCTCCGCCGGCCAAAAAAACACCCCAGACCGAAAGAGCGCACTCGGTGGCACCCTCCCCAAGAATGCGCAGGAACAGCCAACAGGCACAAAAAAAACACGAGGGCACTTTCCCCAAACCGACCTCGACCAAGTAGGAGGAGGAGGAGGAGGAGGCCGAGGGTGCAGCGGGGCGCCGAAGGCGAGGCCGAGGGTGCAGCGGGGCGGGGCGGCCCCTCACGGGCGCGCCTGAGGCCGAGGGGCCGAGGGGCCGAGGAGGACGAGGAGGAGCGACGACCTGCCAGACCACCCCAGCCCGACCCGAAGACACAAATTACACGTTTTTTTTTTGGGGGGGGGCGGGCTCCACACGTGTTTTTTCGCTGTTTGCCGACGCCCCTCTCCCCCAACTGGGAATGGAGGGCGAACTGGGGCCGTCGGGTCTGGTTGGGGTGGTCTGGTGGGTGGTGAGAAGAGGGAAGAGCCGAGGAGGACGAGGTCAAGCTGCTCGTTCTGGGGGCCTTCCTGGAGCCACTCGCTCCACTCATGCGTCGATGCTGCGTCGAACGTCAGAGTCCGTCGACTTGAGTCGAACTTGAGCCAGGCTAGAGTCGAAGTAGAGTCGAACAGATCTGTTAGGTGGTCCCCAGAAAGGTCCCAAAAACGAGCAACCCAACGAGGGGACGCAGGAGCCCAATTTTCATGACTCGCGATAGTGCCCGCAACCGGACTCGGCCCCACCCTTCCCCCTGGTCACGACACGATTCGCGCTGGCGCCGTCTGGGAATTAACCTTTCGCTGGCACTCCCAAACCACGCCTACGCGTATCGTAACGTGACTGGCCCACTCCTCCCCACTCCCCCCCTGTCACGCCCGTGATCGCCAGGGGATATCCAAACCGCCTGAATTCGCCGGCACAACGGGCCAGAGGCGTGCTAAGATCTCCGGTAACTGGTTGACAATATTTCTAGTTCGCGCGCGCGGAGCGGCCCCTGGCGGCCCCCGGACGACAACGACCCTGGCCAGGTCCTGGCCAGGTCCCGGTCAGGTCCCCAGAGCGCTCCAAGGGAGGGCCATGTTTCGACACCCCCGAGGGGGGAGCCGCAATCGACTACCCCCTCTCCCGCCCCAAGAGGCCCCCGAGAGCCCCCCAAGAGGCCCTGGGGGCCCCCAAGACGCCGCCAAGGAGCCCCAAGAGACTCCCAAGAGGTCCCCAAGAGGCCCCCAAGAGGGCTCCAGGGCCGGCGGAATGAGCGAAGCGATTAAATGAATTGCAAGGAAATATCCGGCGAGAGCACGATTCTTCAGTAAATTGCAAGGAGGTCCCTAGCGAGAGCGCGATTCTTCCATAAATTGCAAGGAAATATAAGGCGCCAGGGGCACGGTTTGAGCAGGAAGACCTTCCCCGTTAAAAACACAGCGAGCCCTGAGAGGGGCACTTCAGAGGAAAAAAGTACGGATGTTACGCGAATGCGTGAGTCCTGCATAATTCGCCAGGAAATCTCGGCCGAGAGCGCGATTCCCAAGTAAATTATGGAGGGTCCCAGGCGAGAGCATGATTCCTGAATGGCGAGGGCGTAGCCATCATCATCATCATCATCATCATCATCATCATCATCATCATCATCATCATCATCATCATCATCATCATCAGCAGCAGCAGCAGCATCATCATCATCATCATCATCATCATCATCATCATCATCAGCATCACCATCGTCATCATCAGCATCAGCATCATCATCATCATCATCATCATCATCGTCACCATCATCAACCATTCATCATCATCATCATCATCATCATCATCATCATCATCATCACCACCATCATCATCATCATCATCATCATCATCATAATCATCATCCTCATCATCATAATCATCATCATGAGCATCATCATCATCATCATCATCATCATCATCATCATCCCCGTCATCAGCATCATCATCATCATCATCATCCTCATCATCATCCTCATCCTCAGCATCATCATCAGCAGCAGCATCATCATCAGCATCAGCAACATCATCAGCAGCATCATCATCAGCATCAGCATCATTATCATCAGCAGAATCAGCATCGTCATCACCGTCATCGTAATCATCAGCATAGGCATCGTCATCATCACCCTCATCAGCATCATCATCGGCATCATCATCAGCAGCATCAGCATCAGCATCATCGTCATCATCACCATCATTAGAGTCATCATCATCAGCCTCATCATCATCAGCATCAGCATCAACATCAACATAATCAATCAGCATCATCATCATCACTATCATCATCATCATCATCCTCATCATCACCGGCATCATCGTCATCAGCACCATCATCATCCATTATTCATCCTCATCAGCATCATCATCACCGTCATCAGCGTCATCATCATCCTCATCCTCCGCATCATCATCAGCAGCATCATCAGCATCAGCATCATCATCAGCAGCATCATCAGCATCAGTACCATCATCATCAGCAGCATCATCATCGTCATCATAATCGATATCATCAGCATCAGCATCGCCATCATCACCCTCATCATCATCATCATCATCATCATGATCATCATCAGCATCGGCATCATCATCATCATCATCAGCAGCATCATCGTCATCATCGTCATCATCACCATCATCAGAATCGTCCTTATCACCCTCAGCATCATCAGCAGTATTATCGTCATCACTAGCATCATCATCATCATCATCATAATCATCATCCTCATCATCATAATCATCATCATGAGCATCATCATCATCATCATCATCATCATCATCATCATCATCATCCCCGTCATCAGCATCATCATCATCATCATCCTCATCATCATCCTCATCCTCAGCATCATCATCAGCATCAGCAACATCATCAGCAGCATCATCATCAGCATCAGCATCATCATCATCAGCAGAATCAGCATCGTCATCACCGTCATCGTAATCATCAGCATAGGCATCGTCATCATCACCCTCATCAGCATCATCATCGGCATCATCATCAGCAGCATCATCATCAGCATCATCGTCATCATCACCATCATTAGAGTCATCATCATCAGCCTCATCATCATCAGCATCAGCATCAGCATCAACATAATCAATCAGCATCATCATCATCACTATCATCATCATCATCATCCTCATCATCACCGGCATCATCGTCATCAGCACCATCATCATCCATTATTCATCCTCATCAGCATCATCATCACCGTCATCAGCGTCATCATCATCCTCATCCTCCGCATCATCATCAGCAGCATCATCAGCATCAGCATCAGCATCAGCAGCATCATCAGCATCAGTACCATCATCATCAGCAGCATCATCATCGTCATCATAATCGTAATCATCAGCATCAGCATCGCCATCATCACCCTCATCATCATCATCATCATCATCATCATGATCATCATCAGCATCGGCATCATCATCATCATCAGCAGCATCATCGTCATCATCGTCATCATCACCATCATCAGAATCGTCCTTATCACCCTCAGCATCATCAGCAGTATTATCGTCATCACTAGCATCATCATCATCATCATCATCATCATCATCATCATCATCATCATCATCGTCATTACCATCAGCATCATCATCATTCCTCCCTGCTCCTTCGTCCCTCCTCCCTCCCTCCTCCCTCCCTCCTTCCTCTCCTCACCCTCCTCTTCCTCCTTCTCCTCCTCCTCCCCGCCCCCCGATCTCTCCCTCCCCATCGTCCTCGCGCCGCTCATACGGAGGAGCAGCACAAGGACGAAGACGAGGACGAGGACGAGGGGCAGGATGGAGGAGGAAGGAGGCAGGAGGCAGGACGGAGGAAAGAGAGGGGAGGACGTACACAGAAGGGGAAGCAAGGAAGAAGGGAGAAGGAAGAGCAGGAAGGGAGGGAGGAAAGAAGAGGACGACAGCAGGGAGAAGGGAGGAGATGGAGGACAGAGCAACGAGGACGGAGCAAGAAGGACTGAGGAAGCAGGGAAGGGGTGAGGGAGCATGGAGAGCGGAAGACGGAGCACAGAGGGGGGACGCAGGAGGGAGGACGCAGAAGGGAGGAAGCAGGGAGAGAGCCAGACGGAAGGAGGGGAGGGGAGAAGAGGGAGGGGGGATGCAAAGAAGGAGAGAGAGGGAGAGAGAAAGAGAAGGAGGGGGCGAGCCGAGCAAGAGGAGACGGCAGGGGAAGGGGTGGTGGAGGAGAGGAGAAGAAAGGTGACTACGAAGGAGGGCAGGCAGTCGCAAAGGAAGCCGACCCAGCGTTCCTTGGACCAACCGCCGCCACTGCCAGTCTTCACGGGTAGCTCGGTGAGCGGGAAATCCTACGCGCGCGCGCTCTTTCGACAGCCACCACCCTCCGACCGTCCTTGGCAGTCGTGTCGTGGCCTGCGCGTCCTGCTCTCCCTCCTCCCTCCTCGTCCTCGTCCTCCTCTCCCTTTTTGCCTCCCCCCCTCCCGTCGGGTCTACCAGAAGTACCCTGGAGAGGGCTCCATCCCACGGCCCTCCGCTGCGTCCCATGGGGAGGAGGAAGGGGTCGGCGCTCTCAAAGCGAGGGAGAGGTCCCCATATTGTGGCGAGCTGTGGACGGTCGTCGTTGTTTCTACCCAAGCCAGACCGCTGCCAGCGGCCAGTCGGCCTGATACCACTGCGGGTTGGCATGTGGCCGCACATTCGACAACTACCCCCTATCCCACCTCATCCCTTAACCCCATCCCCTCCACCCCACACTAAGACGAGGCCAGCACGAGGGTACAATCACAGATTAAATCCAGAACCACTGAGATCTGACGGCTCTTGAGGATGTCTCAGGCGCCGCGGTCTTCTCAGAGCGTCCCGGGACCCTCTGAGAGCGTTCTGGAACGCTCTAGAACGGATTCATCCTCGTCCCAGCCCCGCCCGACCTGCGCACACACACACACACACACACACAGACACACCGCCCGCCCCGCTCTCCCCCGTCGCCCGACCCCCACCCGCTCTTCCACATCGCCCCACCTCCCCCGAAGCTGCCCGCATGCACCGGGCGGGCTCGCGGACCCCGTTCATCGTGCCCGGATCGTCGGCGAAGACGACGGTCTCGTCACAGCTGAAGATGCCGGCCTGCGCCCCACGCGCCTACCGTCTACCCCTTGCATTGTCATCGACCTCCTTCTCCTCCCTCCTCCTCCTTCTCCTCCTCCTCCTTCTCCTCCTCCTCCTCCTCCTCCTCCTCCTCCTCCTCCCTCCCTCCCTCCCTCCCTCCCTTCCTCCCTCCCTCCCTCCCTCCCTCCTACTCCTCCTCCCTCCTCCTCCTCCGCCTCCTCCTCCGCCTCCGCCTCCTCGTTCCTCCTCCTCCTCCTCCTCCAAGTCCTCCTCCTCCTCCTCCTCCTCCTCCTCTTCCTCCTCCTCCTCCTCTTCATCCTCCTCCTCCTCCTTCTCCTCCTCCATTCCTTTCCTTACAAAAAAAATCTCCCTGTCGCACCTCGAAAGCAGTTTTTAGGGCGGGCCGGGCGTTTCGCGTGAGACTTCCTCACCGTTTATGACTCTGAAGCTGAAAAATTAGCAAAAGCTTCACAGATGGAGGGCGGGTCGTCTTCAAAATGTGGCTCTCGCCTTAGCGCGGCTCACATTCGTCTTAAACATTTGCAAGAGCTTCACGGATGGAGGGCGGGTCGTATTCGAAGTGTGGCTCTCGCCGCGTTAGCACAATCGTTTCAAGTGTTGTAAGAGCTTCACGGATTGAGGGCGGGTCGTTCTCAAAATGCGGCACCGCGCACATTCGTCTACAACTTTTGCAAGAGCTTCACGGATTGAGGGCGGCTCCTTTTCAAAATGTAGCTCTAGCCTTAGCGCCGCGCACATTCGTTCACAAAAGTTCCAAGAGTTTCACGGACTCCCATCGTCAACGTACCAGAAATGGCGTGCTGAAAGGATTAAGGATTATGCGGGCGCCACAGTTACGTTGACTCTGTGCTGAAATCCTAGAAATGGCGTTCTGGCAGGATTTGGGAAACAGTCAGGTTGATCCGTGGCGTTGGAATTCCAAGAACAATGTTTTGGCATGCTTCAGGGGCTTCAGACGGGTGTCTTCAAGCGAGGCAGTTCCCGCAATGGAAATGAACCGTTGTAGGGGCCTGTGAAGAGGGAGCCTGGAGGCAGGGTTTACTCCAACATGGTTGATGACCCTTGGGTTTACATTGCTCCTGCTTATCCTCCTCCTCTTCTTCTTTTTATGTTGATTTTCTTATTGGTCGTATTATCAGTGGCGACATGAATATTATTATTGATATTGACTATTTTCAAAATATATTTCATTACATTACTATTGGTATTGATATCAGTGTTTCAATATGATTCGTAATAGTACTATTGAAAATGACTAAACGTCTTATGTCTTATCAATTCGTGTTAGCATTCCTAACTGTAGTGGTAGTATCATGCGTAGTCTTATTATCAGTAGTCGTATTATTACTATTACCCTCATTAATATTGAAATCGTTAGTCGTGCTCTTGTTACTAACCGTGCAATTCTTATTAGTATTATAACTCTTCCTCGTAGTGTTGTTATGTTTCGTCCTCCTCCTCCTTCCCCCTCCTCGTTCCTCCGCCTCCTCGTTCCTCCTCCTCTTCCACCTCCTCCTCTTCGTTCCTCCTCCTCCTCCGCCTCCTCTTTCCCCTACTCCTCCTCCTCCTTCTCATCCACCAGAAGCATCATCAGCATCCGCATCAATATCCTCATCATTACCATCACCAACATCAGCAACAGCAACAGCATCATCATCATCAGAATCGTCGTCATCATCATCATCAGCATTAGCATCATCATCATCGTCAGCAGCAGCATCATCAACATCATCAGCATCGTCATCATTATCATCCTCATCCTCGACATCGTCCTCGTCGTCGTTTCCCGTACTCCCTGCCTCATAGCCCTCCTCAGAATGAAACGAGCCCAAACCATAACGCGAACGATAAAAACGAAGATAAACCCACCCGACCCAAACACCTGACCCATGCTTTGATCAATAGCCCAATCCCTCACATCCAAACCCTTACCCCTCAACCGCAAAATCTTAATTCGAAGCTATTGGACCTAACCCTAAAAATCAATATACCTGCACTGCGCCCTAACACGAGAAACCCTAACACCGAAGCCCTATCCGTGATCACAAAACCGTCGTCTGGTAACAAAACCTTCACCCTAAGATCGCACAGCAAGACATGCAGGGTGGGAAACAAATAAGAGTCCACTCTACTCATCGCGTGGCAACGCCAGGGAGCGGTAATAATCGCCATATGACGAGGCACGGGGGATAGAAAAAACTAGTATGCTCTACTCGTCGCAGGGATGCGGAAAACCTTAAACTTCAATCCCAAAACGACAATACAGCGGGGGCGGGAAACACTACTTGTATACTCGATTCGTAGCGCGGCAACTCAAGGGGGCGGAACATATGTCATGATACAGTGTTCGTAATACGGCAACGCAAGGCGGCGAAACATGTTACTACTTATTACTCCACTCGGCACGTGGCAACACATCGAGGATGTGGAAAAGAACACTACGCTACTTGACATGTCGGGTGGCAACGCAGAGATGCGAGAAACAAAACATAGTATACAAAACTGGTCTCGTCACACGGCAACTAGAACCATCGCGCGCGCTTCGCGCGCGCTCACTTTCCAGTGAAGGTCACGGGGATCGCTGAAGGAATTCGGATCGCTCTATCATGCAGACGCACGTAACGTAGCCATACGCATCCTCACCATAATCTTCATTCCCGTCCTCACCCTCATACTCCTCCTCATCGTCCTACTCATCGTCGTGATGACAAGCAATCACTCCAATTATCAACAACAATAGCAACATCATGCGTAACATCATTGGCCAAGGTCTGCTAGCCACGCCGTCACGTCAAACTCGCACACTATCATCAGCATCATCCTCATCACCATCCTCATCAGCATCACCATCATCAGCATCATCATCATCAGCATCATCATCAGCATCATCATCATCATCCTCGTCATCATTATCAGCGTCATCATCATCAGCTGCAGCAGCAGCAACAGCAGCAGCATCAGATGCGTCATCATCACCACCGTCATTCTCATCATCGGCATCATCGTCATCATCGTCATCATCATCACCATCCTCATCATCATCAGCAGCAGCATCCTCATCATCATCGGTTTCATCGTCACCATCATCAGCAGCAGCATCATCATCGTCATCATCACGTGAATCATCACCATCAACATCATCATCGTCATCATCATCAGCATCATCATCGTCATCGTAATCATCCTCACCATCAACATCATCATGAGCAGCATCATCATCAGTTTAACCATCACCATCATCATCAGCAGCAGCATCGCCAGCATCGGCATCGTCATCATAACCATCGTCAACCGCAGATTCATCATGACCAGCAGCAGCATCATTGTCAGCATCAGCATCAACATCATCATTACCATTATCATCACCAACAACAACAACAACAGCCGCCGCAGCAGCAGCAGCAGCATCATAAACATCATCATCGTTATCATGATCAGCATTATGAACATCTTCTTCAACATCACAATCCTGGTCCGAATCATCGTATTCCGTTTCACTTCCATTATAATCATCATTTAACACCGCTACGCTATTCGTGCAAATCGTCACTGCCATCGTCTTACCCACCATCATCTTCACCACCACCAGGATGAACACCAACGTATCCGTCGTCGTCGTCGGCCTGATATTCCCAGATGGGCCTCCCAGAACATCCGGCCGTCTGCGCACCTCGGAGAGCCTCTTGAAGGAGCTTGGGGCTGTTTTTGGGGGTGAAGGTGCTCTCGGGGCCCGCTTCTGCCGGTTCGGGAACCCCTCTGGCCTGAGAGGGTGGCCGGCCCATCGAGAGCGAAAAGGGGAGTTCTTCAGAATCTGCAGTTTCCCCACTGGTTTTTGAAGGGTTCAAGCATCCTCTTGGACTCTTGGGAGCGCCTTGGGGGCGTCTCAGAGGCCTCTTGTAGGCCTCTGGGTGCCGCCTTGGGGCCTCGAGGGGGCCTTGCATGCTGCCTAGGGCGACTTTGGCCCGTCTGACGCCTTCGGAAGCCCTCAGGCTGAACTCTTCGAGATCGCTTGAATCGTTTTGGGAGGCTCTTCACGGCTCTTGGAACCTTCTTGGTGGCCTCTGGGCTTCTCTGGGGGTTCTCTCGAGCAAGTTGGGGCCCTCCGATAGCCTCAGGAGGCGGCCGCCGGATTGGGGAGAAGGAGTGGGAAGCATCATCCTTGTCATGATGATGGTCGTCACCACTATCGTCACCGTCACCATTATCATCAACTTCCGCATCCCCAGCGTCGTCACTGTTACCGTCTTCATAATTGACGTCGTCCCCATCATCAGCACCATCATGGTCATGAACACCATGCATCGTCGTCACCAACATCATAACACATACACGTAACAGCATCAGCATCATAACCGTCATCAACATTCGCAGCATCACCATCACCGTCATCACAAGCACAATCATCATAATCATCATCACCGTGACCATCACCATCGCCATCTTCCTAATCATCAGCATTAGCATCTGCATCAGCAGCAATATCGTCAGCAGCATTAAGACCGACGGCATGAACGTTAACATCGTCGTCACTCTGTCGACCAGATGTTCCTGGAGAGGAATCCAGGAACATCAGGCCTGCTGCATGTGAGGGGCTCGGACGGGCCGTCGGGAGTGAAGGAGTCCAGCATCAGGTCGAATGCGCGCCTCGGGGAGCATTGTCGTGATGTGGGGGGCTCTGAACGGGCCGTCGGGAGGCTTGTTGAAGCACACTGTGTTCTTGTGAGAGCTTCTTGGGAACACTAGGAGTCCCGCTTCTGGGCCGGGGCGCATTTGGGAAGTGCCGTAAGGAGATTCATCACCATCAGCAGCATCATCATTATCATCTTTATCATCATCCGCATCAGCATCGTCGTCATCATCATCAGCTGCATCATTATCATGATCAGAATCAACATCATAATCATCATCAGCATCATCAGCATCATCAGCATCATCAGCATCGTTATCAGCATCGTCATAATTAGTCATCTTCGTCATCATCGTCATCATCGTCATCA